TGCTACTACTATTACTTACTACTACTACTACTACCACTACTACTGTACCATTACCACCACCATTAATATTAATTCAACTTTTATTTTCATAAAATCCAAGACATTCAGATGAATTTTATGTTCAATTACTTAGCCGATAGCAATTCTGAGGTCATACTTAAGAGTTGGCAAATTTTACTCCTTAGCAACAAAAACACACAAAAAGACTCCAAAGTGCTGACTCAAAGACATTTGGAGGAAAGGCAATAACATTTATATTAATTCTATACTATTACTATTACTATACTATATACTATATTATACACTATATTATACTGAATATTTTTAATTTGGCAACCAGTACTTTGACTGTATTCTTGTTTAAAACCAAATCATAAGGTTTTCTCTTTTTTTTTCTTCACTTCCTTACTTCCACATTTTGACATAGTTAATCTGAACAACATAGTTCATATGAAAGTCGTGGTAAATTTGGCTTCTTAAGGTCACGTTCTATTTTTTCCAGGGAGATGTCCTTCCTTTTACACAAATTAGAATAGTATTGATGAAAAGTTTTTGGCATAGTGAAATTTTCTCCTGTACTTTTAAAAATTGTACAATTTGTATATATTCTAAATTGCTCTTAATAACCAATTTCTGTCCCAAACTATTCTTGTCGATGTCTTCATTTAAATCTTTCTAAAAAAAACTTATTACAATCTTTGACTATCCAATCTTCCTGTAAGATTTTCTATTTTTTCCATTTGCAAAGGATTGTTATTTTGTACAAAATCAGAAACTGTTCTCTTTCTTTCATCCGAAGGCTTCAAAAATATTCAGCTAATCTGTGCCAAGGTACTATGCTGCATACCTGAAACAATTACTTGCTTCAATAAAACATATGTTGCTTATAAATCCTGGAGTTAAAATTCCAAGATCTCTTATTATTTCTAGCTTTCATCTGCCCACCTGTAAACTGTAAATTAACTAATGTTTCTATGACATCAAACAGCTGAAGTCAATGGTATCCAGAACAGTACTGCCTGTAAAATCCAACTGTGTAACAAACCTTGAGAAATAAATTGCAACTATATGTTAGAAGACTCCAAAGAAGAAATAATGTCAGATAATTAGAAATTCATTAATCCAGGCAAAAACTTAAATGAGAACATATTCAAAATTGTTTTTAATTTTATCAATTTGTGTGCTACTGTGAGGCATTAACAACCAGACCCACGTGCAAAGAGTTCAAATTAGCTACTTTATATCCCAATTCTATTTCATAGCAATCTTCCCAGATTAGCAGTTTGCACCTGGGCCAGACTAGATAAAATTCAACAGAATTCAAGGGGGTGGAAGTTGGATATTGACCTCGTGTCTATGTAATGATTCCAGACTAATTCCCTACTTGACTCTTCTACCTGGCTCAGCCAATCTCTCTCTCTGACAGTTGCCATATTACTTTTCAAATCTGTATTCCACTTTTAAAGGCTACAACACATATTTTTGATATTATTAATTTTAAAACAAATAATAAATCTCAGAATTATAAATTGAAACAGTACGTCTTGTTGTCTTTTCAAAAAGTGAAGAGATTGGGATTAATCACAGTTCCTGAGTTTTAAAGTTACACAAGGAAAGAACTTTACTGCCTGCCTAGTAGAGGAGCTTTTATAATAGGTCCTCTCCTATAGATCTCACATGTTAACAGGTTTTTTTTTATTTCTTTATTTCTGAATGTCTTTGGGGAAGCCTGAAAAACATACCAGAAGTCTGCAACCTTAATATTCTTGTTCCCATGAAGTTCAGTTATACTTTCTGTGCATACTCAAGGCTACAAATATATACATGATAAAAACTAAATAAATTGTGGTGGAATCTATTGGCCTTATTTCTGAAATAAATATACACTACACAATGTTGGTAAGCATTTCATTGGTTTGGAATTATAAAAATAAGTTTAGTGAAATCTTGTTTTGCACATTTCTCTTCCAATGAAATCAGCCATAATTATGTTTATGTGTTGGATGCAGTGACGTGCGGTGAGGTTTATGGCTGGTGAGGCACTGACACAGTGGTGGGTTTCAAATTTTTTTAGACTTGTGGACTTCAACTCCCAGAATTCCTCAAACAGGCATGCTCAATTCCGATTTATGAG